TCTGAAACTGATCACTGTTGTGGTTGATCTCCCCCCCCTCTCCCCCCCCCACCTGTCTGTCTTCCATCAGTACACTGGCGCTCTGACATACGACGGGGTCAAAGTCATGTCCTTGGCCTTCCAGAGTTTGAGGAGACAGAGAATAGACATTTCTCGCAGAGGCAACGCTGGGGAGTGTCTTGCCAACCCCCCCGCCCCCTGGGGCCAAGGCATAGACATCCAGAGAGCCCTGCAGCAGGTCTGCACTCACACACACTCACACACACGTACACACACACACACGTACACACACATGTGCTCCTTCTGGTGAGTGACACCCGAGCTAACGGCTCCTGAGCCCAGGCTGGCTGAACAAATTAGGTTTCATTCTGTCGTGTAAAGTTCACATTAAGTCGTAGGAGAGCTGAGCAGGATCAGATGTGACATCATCAGTGCTAAACCAAACCTGAGGGCAACAACGCTCCGCCGTGATCCTCATGGAATATGACATCAGCAATTGAGTTTAGAGATGTAATATTTGGCTGTGGAAATGGAAACACAGGGCTGTGGGACACACACACACACACACACACACACACCTAACCCACTCTCACTGAGAAGCAGAGACGGTTATTGTTTTAACTGTGTTCAGCTAATTAAAAAAGGCAAATGTAAAACATGTAAATTAATTACTGCTGAATCTGATCTACATTATTGTCTCTCTGTGATAAATGCAATGTGTGTGTGTGTGTGTGTGTGAGCAGCCCGAGGCTCAGTGTGTACAGTAGCAGTGCTGGTTCTGTTCACTGGTCCAACCATCTGCCTGTGGACAGACTGGAGATTGAAGCTGCGTTCGCTCAATTAACTCCCTCACTCAGCCAAGACAAACACACTGATCTGTCCACATGTATGCAGACGGTCTGTCATCAGGCCCCGCCCCCCCCAACACCAACCCAGGCTACACACACACACACGTGACCTGATGACGTCGTTAATTCCACGTCTCCGTCTCCCGCCGCAGGTCCTGATCGATGGACTGACTGGTCACATACAGTTCAACGAGAAAGGTCGGAGAACGAACTACACCGTGAGCGTCATGGAACTGGCCCCATCTGGACCCAAGAAGGTACAGCACCGACGCTGTGTGTTTCATTTATATAAGTATATACAGATGGACAGTAGGGGGCGTGTGTGTGTGCAAGAATGTGGAGATACGATACGTGTCACGATACGATATATTGTGATATACTGCGATGCTATAGATGATGATGATATATTTTTTGATTTAGTTTTCTTCTAAATCTGTCAATTTTCAAAGTGATTAGAAACTCAAAGTCCAAAAATTGCATATTTAAATTACTGTTTTGCAATATTTTATATAAATAGAAAACTGGTTAAAATTATAAATTCACACATTTTCACATCATGGCTGAATAAACAGACTACAGGAAACTAGAAGCTCATTTGCAACAACATAAAGCTCAGTAGTTGTTCTATACTTGAAAATGTGGGGCGTGGACCGTTAGGGGCCGACTTTGTTCTACTGCTGTCAGGTTTGGACTTTCATTTCTGTTTGGTTTTTGTTGTGTCTCAGGTCGGCTACTGGAATGAAGATGAGAAGTACGTCACCACTGCCAGCTTCATGAGAGGCAGCAACGACACCTACGGCCTGCAGAACAGAACCTACATCGTCACCACCATCCTGGTAGGTCGGAGTCACAACAGTGAGAGTAGAAATGATGATTATAGTAAAGAGAGTCATCTTTACATCTCAGTTCATCACATTTAAAACCACTGAGTCAAAAAGTTCCAAGACAAGAATCTGGTCCAGTTTGATTAGTTTTACATTTTAAAACCATTTAAGGGAAAATTCCTGTTTCATACGTTATTAAAAAAAACAACTAAACACTTGATGTGAGCTCCAGTGGTGGAACCAACCGTCCTGACAGACTTACATGTCCTTCGTCTCTTTGTTCTTCGCTGGATGTTTGCAGCGTTCTGGTCGTTGTGTCAGGGACGGATGA